GCACCTACTCAGTAAAAGAAAGTTAATCTTGTTATCACCCTAATGCCTTGTTGTTAAATATATTTATGATTATGCATTTCATCATATCATATCATCCATGTCATTACCTATGTATCCATGATATCTTATTTCTTGCTCATGCATATAGGATCGCCCGAAGGAATTACCCTCTTGGAGTTCGAGGCCGAAGAGGAGAATCAGGAGACACCACAGCCAGCAGCTCCCGAAGGCGAGGAGCAGGCTCCTGAAGAATTACCAGAGTGCCCTGATCACAGGACTACCTCTTTTCTGAAAGGCAAGCCCCGGAGCAATCTAAGCCTCCTATGTTTTATAAAATATCACTTGAGTCCTTTATGTTTGATGCATTAAGTTATAAGAGTTGATTGGAAACACTTGATGCATATAACTTCCTCGTCTAGAAATATACCTTGAACCATGTGTAGGTCCAAAATCGAATATATGCATAGCCATGCTTAGACCGGTAGAAGTCAGGAGATTTCCTATCACCTGCGAGATATTGGTGGATACCAGACCATGGTTGGCTATATTTGCTATCATGGAAAAGAACCATGGGATAATGTAACTAGAGGCCGGGCGGAGTCTATGTGTAGGTTGACTCATGTGATTCCGTCTGTGCCGATTAAGGACCGCATCGTTGGAGGCCCTCTTGTCATTTTGAACGTATGCCTCTCACTTAGCTGGCCAGATAACTCGTTCCGACCATGAAGCCGAGTAGTTCAACTCAGGCCAGGCCTCGTTCTGTTAGAGTGCGCACTCTAGAGGTAGTAAGGATGTGTGGGGAGCCGATGTGAGGCCAAGGGCAGGTTAGAGTCCTGATCGACCTGGCATCCGGTAGTGTCCCTAAGGGTGCGGCGCTGATCGAACCCGTGAAATGTGTACCTAAATTATACCAAAGGTGACCTAAGATGACCTTAGCTTAGTATGTCTGGATTTGTGTTAGGAATAACTGCCCAACTGGTTGCAATCGATTCAAATCGCCGTCTCTACCGGATAGTGAGAAACTTGACGGAGCTTCTTTATCGTAGTAATTGAACTATGGAATTTGATGGTTATGATGAACATGGAAATGTTACATCGGTTATGGTTATTATTGTTATGCTACATAATCATACATAACATGTTTGGCACAGGTTAGATGCTAATCTAGAGATGAATAGCTACAATTAACTTGGAACCGAATTATAAAATGTGTAGCTCAACTAGTCCCTTTTTGCAAAAATATTATCAAGCTAGCTCCACTTATAAAGCCTTGCATGATCCTTGGAGTCACTTTTATTTTGGTTTATGATGGGTAAGTCTAGCTGAGTATCTTCTTGTACTCAGGGTTTATTTCCCACTTGGTGCAGATAACACAGTCTATCATGGATATTGTAAGAACGGCTTCTATCCTACCATGGACGAGGAGTAGGCCATGGGCATGGCGCTTCTATATATCTAATCTATGATGCTTTTGTGGGATGTGATCATAAACTGGCAAGTATTTGAACAATGGTGTGAGATGTTAGTTTAAAAACTATCTTTGCTTCCGCTACTACTGTATTTGAACTTGGTATTGTAATGGCTCGTTTTGTACTCCGATGTATGTTGAACTATGGTGGATTTATGTAATATGTGGCTTGTATGTTGAATCATGTAGGATCTTGGTTGTGTGATTGGATTATTCGAGATCCTTCGTGATACTCGACGGACTACCGGGTTTATATGGGCTCAAGTATGACAGTGCAATCGCTGCGGTGGTTGCCATTGTACTTGTGCTCTTATAAATTGGTCGATTCTGCCACAGCGCCAGATGTGATGGGGAACTCACCGAGAAAGCCGACATGGCCATTTGGGGTGGTGCCACTTCCTTCGACGATGAGGCCGATGGCTCCAGCCACCGTAGAGCCAGAATCGCACTTGACGCTGCATCCTACCTGGCGCGCCAGCTATCGTGGGGTCAAAACTATAGCAAGCATGTTGTTTGAGTCGGTGTCAAAGTATGGGGTCTCCGGTGACTCGAGTGGACTCAGGAACACAAGAATCACGCAAAGAAGATGTAACGGTTTATCCTGGTTCGGGCCAATTCGGTCCCTACGTCCAGCAACTGATGATCCTTACACTCAAGAGCACCCAAAATCTAAGGGGTTACAACAGAGTGTAAAGAAAGAAGATTTGGTAGGGGGGTTAGGTCGGTGCTAATCCTAAGGTTGCCTCGCCGCCGGTGGATTCTCCCCCTCATCGGAGAGGAAGGAGACGATGGGATGCGATGGAGGAGGGGCTTTTGGTGCCCCTCTTCGGGTTGTCTTGCTCTCAGTCCAAAGCAGAGGCAGATGGAATGGAATGGAGTGTCTGGTGATCGAATCGGGATTCTTCCCCCTCTAGGTCTGACATTATCCCTTATATAATGAGAAAGGTCGGGTACAAGGTGGTTTGGGAGTTCTAGTCTATGGTCTACGTGCGTCGCGATGCGCCGTGGACCGTCGAGGTGTCTTAGAGCCGAAGAAGCCTAGGTGTTGTCCGGCTGCTCTGTTCTAACACTCTGCATGTCAAAGGATGTAGGCTTGGACCGGCCTCCCCTAGGTGAGAACTTCTAGAGTCTTCTTGGTGGCGAAGGAGGTCGGTTCTAGGGGCTGATGTGCGGGCCCGAAAGACCCCGAGCCCCCGGAGGTCATGGGAAGCTTTGTTTTCTTGTGTCTCGCCCCGAAGGCGCAGTTGGCAGGGGCACGCCTACAGTAATGTTAACTTATATTATGGATAATATGGTCATCCTAAAATAAATCATAGCTCTCAAATTAATAGAAGGATAAAACGTAAATAGATATGTAACTTCATGTTCTAATTTATTTTTTCTCGTTGCAACGCAAGGACATATTTGCTAGTAGTAAGTACATAAAAGTATAAGTATCTGACATGTTCACATGAACCTTTTCTTTTAGCGGGAAAATCAACACAACCTAAAAAAGCTAGACAGTGATTTTTTGGAAATTATTGTACAAATCGTGAACATAAAAGCACATTTACAAAGTATGAAAGAACGTTATGTAAACACGGCCAAAGACAAGTGGGCTTAGGAAAAAAAAAAGGCGAATAGAATACAATCCTTCCATAGAACATAGGGTGGACCCAGACATTAGACACGGAATTCTGTTAAATTAACAAGTTTTGGCAACAAAGCGGGTTTGTGAATGACTGTGTAGTAGCAACTGGCAACCATATACGTTCGTAGAATAAAGTACATGACCTATTCTCAAACTTGTGTGGGTGTGCCATCACACCAGTCCTCGAACTCACAAAGTGCATTATTTTGATCCTTAAACTTGTCAATGTGTGTCATACCGGTCCTCGTACTCTCCAATCGCGTCATTTTAGTCCCAAAGTGTGTTATTTTGGTCCTTAAACATGTCAATGTGTGTCATACCGGCTCTTGTATTCTCAAAGTGTATCATTTTGGTCTCAAAAATATGTTATTTTGGTCGTTAAACTTGTAAAGTTGTGTCATGCCGGTCCATTTCAGCTCTTAATGTGGGTCTTAGCGGTCATCCAAACAGGCCTGGATTCGTGCCCAGGCACTGATGTGGCATGCTAATGCGTGCTCACATGGAGCTTACGTGTGGTCTTCCAAACTTCAAATTTATTTTTGAAACATATTTTAAAAAAAACTGAGTAGAAAATCTATTCACAGCTTAAACAAATTTTTAAATTCATTTTTCCACACCATAAAAATTAATCCAATCAGGATGAAAGCAAAGCCTAGGAGAATTAACTTTAAAAAATATTATAAAGCAATTTTTTATTTAGTTAAATTGACAACAACTTAACTAAATAAAAATGAGTGATTTTCACCTAAGTTTTTTCTTACATTTTGTTAAGTTGTCTACAATTTAATTGACTTCAAATTAATTTTTCTAGAGGTGTTGCTTTTATCCTAGTTGGATTAATTCTATGTGAAAAACAAATTTAAAAATCCATGTAATCCGTGGGTAGATTTTCTACTCTATTTTTTTTAAAACATGATAAGTTTCAAAATTAATTTCAAATTTAGATGACCACATGTTGGTTTTATATCTGCACAAATTTAGGATGCCACGTCATGTCTATTAAGACCCAAACAGAGATTAAGAGCTGAAACGATGCAGCTTGAAATTAGGACGACCGGCATAACACATTGACAAGTTTAGCTATCAAATGATGCACTTTGTGAGTACAAAACCAAAACCGGTATGGCATACGTCGATAAGTTTAAGGACTAAAATAGTACACTTTATGAGTACGAGGACCGGCATGACACGTACTCTTGTTCACATTTATGCTTCCCGGAAGCTGTACATAATCAGATATTATTGTTAAACTGGCCTATCTGATAAGGATAGCTTCTTTATGATCATAGCAACATGTCCGAATGTTGAACATATCGCCCATACCTGTTGTATGTATAGCTGTCTTCTGTTAGGAAATAGCTTTGTTTCCTGCCACCTGTTTTTTTTCTTCTTTCTCGAATAAGTTTTTTTTCCCTCCGGTACATAGCATAGCTGCACATCATTGCAATTAAGATCCTGTGACCTTTCAGGTTTGCTGAAAGCTCAACGATGCTGACAACATTGTGGTTGCAACTTTCAGTTGTTATGGTCCATTAGAACTTTTAACTTAGCGTGTTACTTGTAAAATAAATGGAGTGATAACAAAAGGACCAATAAGAATAACAAAAATTGATGACGCAGGTATAATTCCTACACTGAGAAAGTAAACAAGACAATGCCATGATAAAAGGGCGCACAGGTTTCCAGCTCGAACAGTCTAGAGCATACATCTACTTTCTTCTAACGCCTAGCGAAGAAAATAAAAAAAAAAACTAATAAAAACTCTCTTGAAATACATGGTGAGTTTTTAAAAGCCTCCCTAAGCATTTCATCTGGGCAAACGCTACCTGCTACTATCTGTACATCAGGCAGTTAGTGCTGCGGAATAGGGCTCGATTCGATCCAACCGTCCCCTTCCATTTCTCAAGCCAGGGTCAGCGACCGAGGTTTCGAGAAAACGTTGAGCTTTCTTGAAATATACCGGGCTGACTTTGATATCGGCTGTTTGCAAACTGAATCATTGGGAGGCTTCTCTGAAACATGATCAGCAGCTACCTCGCTTGAACATGAACTGCTGAACTGGTCGCATCGCCTGAAGTTCCTCAGAAGCTGAAGCAACTTGACTGAGCAATCTCTTGCCACCTTGGTTCCACTCACTGATAAGTCTACAAGGGCTGGGATGACGCCTTCCTTCATGGCAAGTGAACAAACCTCAGAACTGTGGGAACATACTGCTAGAAGGATGACCACTGCATGTTCACGTTCGCTGTGTCTTCCAGTGTTCAGATGATCTGAAATGGAGCTGAGGCAATTGCCTGTTCTGATTATAAACCCTGCCGTCTCTTTCACTTCACTCAAGTTCCGTAAAATCTTCAAAGAGCATTCTATCATCTTGCCTTCACCGAGGAGCGGAGATAGCCTCGAGACTATTCCAGAGGAAACAAGGTATGATTTCATATCATTATCAGATGAAATCTTGCAGATGATCTGCAGAGCGAGGTCCAGGAACTTGGTTTCTCCACTGTCCAAAGCTCCAAACACTAAAGGAGAAAAAACGGAGGCCATGAGACTAGATTTTCGACAACTTGGTTCCTGAAGCAATTCATGTACAATCTGAAGAGCTTCCTGTTTGAACTCCGAATCAAGTAGTGATGCAATCAGAAGTATCACATCTTCACAAACTGAAGGAATTCGAGCCCTAGATCAAAAGGAAAGCACAGGTTTTATGAGTATCCATTAGAGTGAAAACATAAGAACTAACCACAGTCTTATACTTAGCATCCATTTCTTTATCTTCAATAATAAAAATAAGAGAATATCATAAAAGAAATTTTAGGTAAAGAGAAGGAAACCATATACAAGTTCATAACTGGAGCAGGCAAGCCAGTTTATGACTTCCTATTGTTGATAACAAAATGGGAAAAAATAAGTGCCAGAACCCAAATAAGAGGTGCCAGACAGAATATGGACATCAGTATTCATACCTGCCACTAGAAAGGAAAGCAAGAAAAAACTGAATCCCAGCCCTTCGAGCTTGCAGTGTGTGAATTCCACTATCATTCTTAAGGAATTCATGGAATGCTTCAAAAAACCCATTGCAGACCATAGAATGCCAAATTTGATTTTCACCTCTCAGAACAGTCTTCAAATCTCTGACAGCTTTTTTTTGCAGTTCAAAGGGAAGCTCAGACAGCTCATGGAAGAAACCCAAGAACATTGCCTTGTCAAAGTTGCAGAAGGACAAATACAACTGGTAATTGGCATTAGAATAAAACTGATCAAAACTAGTCTTTGACTGCTCTGTTTCCCTCATGGGGGATGATATATAACTAGCACCTGATGGTCCAAAAGATGAACTGCTATAATCAACTGTGTAATCTCTATTCTTTTCTATAATTAGAGGTGCAGAGACATTGTGCAAACTCGATACAGAATAACAATTCTGAAATTGCTCAGGCAAATAAGTAGATTCAAGCTCATGATCTTTGCACCAGTTATGAATAACAGCCTTCATGCATGTATTTGGCGTTACTGTGAAGTTTTTTAACTTCATATGTGTCCTAGGACAAGTATCATATCCCTCATTGAACCATCTCTTGATATTTTCTCTTTCATATGTTTGTCCAGATGTTATTATCACAGGATCTCGCATCAGCTTCAAAGACAATGGGCAGCAGAACTCTGGAGGTGGTGTGTCTGCTCCAGACAAACTATTCTGATCATCATATCTCATATTGGCTGACTCTGCAGCTGAATTGCATCTTTCCGTAGTATTGATGCCATTAACAATTGAGTCTAAACTCACAACTTCAGTTGCAACATTCAGATTTTGATTCTTTTCATTAGTCCCTGGCTTGGTATTCTTCCCGTATTTCCTAACTAGATATAGGAGGTACTTAAGGATTCCTTCCTTTTTTTGATCAGTGCCATTGATCTTGGCAAGTAATTTCTTGATTGCTCTTCTTTCAATTAGGACAGCTTTAGGTGATGTAATGTTCAATTTTGAAGCTGCTAAAAGGAAAGTCTGAAGCTCCAATTCTTGGGTTACTTCAGAATGCCGAAGCATCTCCAGAATTACTTTTCCAGCATCCTCTTCTGCTGGATCAACAATGAATTTCAGATCTCGAAGATCATTATGGACATCAGCCACCTGTGATAAATAGTCAAATGAATGTAAATATGCTGTCTGCAAGCTATAATATGAATTCATCAAATGTGTTAGTAAGAAAAATAGAATTATGATCAGGTACCATAATGTTACATGATAAGACTGTAAGCAGGCCACCATCCCATACGCAAGCGGTAACCTCCCCTAGCACTGACTAGCCCACCACCTTCCCCCAACTCTGGCGACGCGGCACTGTCACCGCTCTATGCGTCTGCACCACCTATTTTCCTTTCACCCCTTCCTGTCCTCCCTCTGGCCGCTCAGATCTGCCGCAGTTTTCGGATCTCCTTTGTCGGACGCATGTGGCATGGTTCGCTCACGTTCCCATTCATCGACCGGGGTGAGGGCCTACGTTCGTGGCAGCCCAGCGCCCCTGGCGGCGGGGACGTCCCGAGCGATGCCTATCTAGGGGCGCTTGCGGCATGAGGTGCCTAGCAGGGATGTGTGTGCGTGTGCCTCACCAGTGCGCACGTATGTGGCCCTCCCAGATCTGTTTTTTTTTATAGCTAGGAGGGCATGCATTATGTAATGACTCAAATCAAATGTACTAAACTGTCTGCACACTTAAATAGAGATGTGATTGTTTGAGTAATCTCAAAATACATCTAACGAACCACATACATATGCACACTACTCACACATGCTAAGTCCGAAAATCCTCAGCAAGCAGGAACTTAGGCGGCAGAGCTCCATGATGAGAGGCTCTACCACCACGCTGTTCACCCCGGATATGCTTTTAGTGGCCTTCAAGGATTGATCTGTTGTTGGGCCATTGCCTTTGGTGCATCTATAATGTCCATTCGATGGTCAGAGGGCAGTGATGGTAAGAAACGACATCGACCATTGTTGCCCATTGCTCACCTTTAACAATGGTGACGCCCATGGGCCACTTCCCTCACAGGAGACATTTCTGTGCCCCTAACCCCTTGTTGGTGCATCTATGATAGGGGCTAGGGCGTCTTCAGATGTCGTTTTCTTCTTAAATACGTTACTTTGGGAGGATTCCCAGGGTTGCCGGTTGTGTGAGGACCGATGTCTTCCAACGATGGTTGACTTGTACAAGATGGTTTGGTGTTGTTGCTATATTGTAGTGTCCAGAATGCTCAATGGGGCTCTATGTCTTACAGACTCACGTTGCCTTTTGGAAGGTGGTGGGACCTGTTGTGGCAACGTTTTCTTGGCTTGGCAGTTGCCCCTTGTCCAGTGGTTGAAATTCTCTTTCAACTTTACTGGATTTGGCCCAGCGCCCAAGCTATGGATCTATTTTCATCCAATATGCGGGGAAGGTAGTTCTTTTGCAGTCAACGTCACTTAACAAAATGGATTGCCGCAGGATGACTATATGAGTTGCTTGTTGGAGATTTAGTTTTGTCTTCTTTGTTGTTCATCAGACTTGTCTGATGTCTTGGCTATATGTCCCTTTGGACATATGCCTTCCTTTGTTGTGTGGTGTAAGTCTTCTATAGTTAGTTTGGTCTGATGCATCTATAGTTGAGATTGTCTAAAGCTGAAAAATATGATAAATTATTAAAACACAGGTTCTCTATGTTTACAAAATACAATTATGATCATGTGAACTTTTATCGAACATCATCGTATACATGCAGTGCTAGGCTAGGAGGTTAACCAATTAGATTAAGGATGCTTGATTGCTTTTCTAACAAATGGCTACTCACAGATACTTTACTTTCAGTTAAATAAAGGTTGACACTGTAAACCTATTCACAAAGAATTGCAAAAGATTTGTTCACCTAGAATTGTTGTTTCAGCTCATGTACTATAATTTGATACAAAACTAACCTCATTAGCTAACAATTGTTCAACCATGTTCTGTATTAGGAACAAGCTCCGCCTCAACGAGTTCCTTATCCTTTCACACCGCATTGCAGTCGCTTCACTAGTAATAGCCTGAAATATAAGCATATTAAAAAATTAGAAGAGCCTTTTTACAGTCTCTCAAAGGTACCTGAATTTGTACTAATGAGATATTAGCATCAGAAAGCAATTCATAACAGATCTTCTGTATCAAGGAAATGGAATATCATACCAAGTAAAGACTGCTACATTCAATGCAATTCTGGATTATGAGTTTCCCTTTGCCAACTATGTTGTATAGGTTGCATAGTTCCTCTACACCTGCTTTGCATCCTGGTTGAGCAGCTTCTATTGATGGAAGAATAGAGGAAACCTTATCCAGCATCAAAGTCAACTCATTGCACATTTTGCTGTGAACCTAACAGAGTAGGAAAGTAATAAAGTATTAACATAATCAATGTGATAATATATAGAGAACAAATCAGGAATCCTATTTTGCACAAGAAGCCAATGAAAATTAATTAAGACATTAATAAGTTATCTTTGTTTCGAAATATAAAGTCCAAGTTCAACATGTGCCTGAAACAATAAAGCACCAAACTGGACCAAAAGTTAATGGAATTCATGCATAAAATACAAGTACTAATTACTAAATGTCATGCTACAAATATTTAACATTATAAAGCATGGCTGGATATTGCAATAACAAAGACTTCAAATTTTGAATGGGACTTGATTTAAAAATGAAACTTCCAAGAAAGTGAACTTGTAATGGGAGTAGCAAAAAGATCGTAGCATAAATTTACCAGAAAATGACTAAATACTATTAGCTACATCTTCACTAAAACATTTCAATTTTGAACTCTCTTCCAAAGTATTAAACAAAGTTCACCCTACTATTCCTAGTTTTTCTACAACATATCTTTTATTAAGAGTGAAATGCACCCTAAGTGGGTCCATGAACTCTCAAAGGTCAATGTGAGTCCAGGTCAATGATTCGATTTGGAATGAACTTAGAATGAACCACATGAAAAAAGTTGAAAGACCCAGATGATCAATTTGAGAGTTCATGCACCCAGATGAAAATGCGGGAAAAATTTAAGAACCCATGGTCCATTTTGAAAGCATAAATCTTGTGCTTATCTACTTAGGATACTTGTCTAGAGTAGTTGGTGGCTGCTATGTCAGCACCTTATCTTTATCTTATCTTGCTTTAGCATCTACTTTAGCATATCTAGAATATGATGTAATCCTTTCTTAAGGACTAAGTATGCAGCCCTACATGTATCCCCAACCTGCCATGGTTTGTGGCAAGGCTAATGAAATCTGAATCTAGCCCCAAACCTGTGATTTGTCTCCAACAAATGGAATCAAAGCCTAGTTCTTCCTCCCATAACAAATCCACCGCCATGGCCACCCACTCCCGATCCCACTCCTCTGTGGAGTCTGCGACCTTTGTAGGGCGACGTCGGCAGGCAGCAGCGCATGCGGCGCGGGATGCAGAGGACGCACGGGCGGCGGACACGCGAGTAGCGCGGCTAGAGGAGGCAGAGCGGAGGGAGAGAGAGGCGGCGGCGCTGTAGGCCGCAGCTGTTCGGGCGGAGTGCCTCACGGCAGCGGAGCTGTCGGCCGAGCGTGCGGCAGAGACGGCCCGCCAGGCCGCGGCTGCGACTCAGGCTGCGACGAACACCACTGCCGCCCTTCGCGCGGAGGCAGACACGGACGCCCGGACCGAGCACACGGCTTCAACAGATCGGACCGGTGCGGTCGGGCCGGCCTGGCTCCCCTCTCGTCGTGCAGACCGTCGTCAACGACGCCGGCACTGACGGCGGATGGTCCATGCTCACCAAGACCAACTACGCCGAGTGGTCCATGGTGATGAAGGTGAAGATGCAGGCGCGGCGTTTGTGGGACGCGGTACGGTACGGCGACGCTGACTTCGACAAGGATCGGCGGGCGCTCAAGGCGCTTCTTGCTGCTGTTCCGATGGAGATGCACTCCTCCCTCGCAAACAAGGAGACCACCAAGGATGCCTGGGACGCCATCGTCACGGCACGTATCAGCAGTGGGTGAGGACGTCGACGACTTCGCTCTCCGCCTCAACACCCTGATGCAGCAGTTGGCGCGGTACGGCGACGATGACATCGATGAGAGAGCCGTCGAGAAGCTCCTCCACGTCGTCCCCAAGAAGTATTCGCAGGTCGCCATCGCGATCGAGATGTTGCTAGACTTCTTCGAGCTGTCGATCAAGGAGGTGACGGGTCGCCTCAAGGCCGTCGACAACCGCGAGTAGCAACCTTCCTCAGAGCCGGTCACCATCGGTGGCAAGCTTCACTTCACCGAGGAGCAGTGGCTGGCCCACCAGCGGGAGCGGAAGAACAGGGAGGCCTCGGGTTCTTCGGCTTCGGGTTCGACGAGCAGCCGCAAGCGCGGGACACGCAAGCGGGACAAGGCTCCCCAAGCACGTGGTGACGCATTTGACGGCACCGACGGCAAGCGCAAGGCTACCCGTGACGACACCTGCAAGAACTGCGGGAGGACCGGCCACTGGGCCAAGGACCGCCGGCAGGCGAACCGCGGCGGTCAGGCACACGTCGCGCAAGCGCGGAGGGTGACGAGCCGGCTCTGTTCTTCGTACACGGGAGCATTGAGCCGCACTCCTCTCCCTCGCCGGCCACCGCCGCACTCCTCCACCTCGACGAGCCGCGGGCCCACATCTTCCTCGGCAACGGGTCCGACGGCGACAAGATCGACGGGTGGTACCTCGACACCGACGCTACCCACCACATGGCCAAGCGGCGGGAGTTCTTCGAGCTTGACTCCGGCGTTCGAGGCTCCGTCAAGTTCGGGGACGCCTCCGCCGTGGAGATCAAGGGCGTCGGCTCTGTCGTCTTCACCGCCAAAACCGACGAGCATTGACTGCTCACCGGTGTCTACTACATCCCCACACTGAGAAACTCCATCATCAGCTTGGGACAGTTGGATGTGAATGGCTCGCGCGTGGAGATCGAGCACGGGGTCCTGCGCATCTAGGATCGCCATCTTCGCCTTCTCGCCAAGGTGAATAGAGGCAGCAACCGCCTCTACGTTCTTCTCGTGCAAGTGGCGCAGCCCATGTGTCTTGCAGCCCGCCGCGACGACGATGCCTGGCGGTGGCACGAGCGCTTTGGGCACCTCAACTTCGAGGCCCTGAAGTGGCTCGGCAACAAGGAGATGGTGCAGGCATGCCGCGAGTCGAGCACGTGGAGCAGTTCTATGACATCTGCGTCCTCACCAAGCAGCAGCAGCTTCCCTTTCCCCGCCAGGAGAGCTTCCGCGCCAAGGAGAAGTTGGAGCTTCTTCCTGCTCCTCGTCGATGACGTGTCCCGCTACATGTGGGCGGTCCTGCTCGACACCAAGGCGGCAGCTGCGCACGCCATCAAGCTGCTGTGGAGGAGTGTGGCCGCAAGCTTCGGGTGTTGCGCACCAACAACGGCGGTGAGTTCACAGCGGCTGAGTTCGCGGTGTACTGCGCCGACGAGAGGATCCAGCGCCACTTCTCTGCCCTGTACACCCCGTAGAAGAACGGCGTTGTTGAGCGCCGCAACCAGATGGTGGTGGCCACCGCCCGCGCCCTCCTCAAGCAGAGAGGGATGCCAGCAATCTACTAGGGCCCTTGACGGCAAGACGTCGTACGAGGCCTGGCACGGGTGCAAACCGACAGTCAGCCACCTCTGCGTCTTCGGCTGCCTCGCATTCGCCAAGCCCCTCCAGGTGGCCCGCGTCCCGTCCGTGGAAGCCATACTGGTCCGCTCGAGCATCCCGCGCTGGCGGCCTAGGAGGGTTAGCATGTGCACCACATGGACGTCAAGTCCGTCTTCCTCAACGGTAACCTGAAGGAGGAGGTCTACGTCCACCAGCCGCCAGGATTCGTCATCCCTGGTAAGGAGAACAAGGTTCTCTGACTGCGCAAGGCCCTCTACGGCTTGCGGCAGGCGCCACGAGCTTGGAACGCCAAGCTAGACTCCACCTTCAAGCAAATGGGGTTCCAACAGAGTCCTCACGCGGCTGCAGTCTACCGACGGGGCAAGGGGGGCAATGCCCTGTTGGTAGGCATCTACGTCGACGACTTGCTGATCACCGGCTCCAAGGAGGCCGAGGTGGAGGCGTTCAAGGAGGAGATGAAGGCAACCTTCCAAATGAGCGACTTGGGCCTTCTCTCCTTGTACATGGGGATTGAGGTCATCCACCAGGACAGCTCCGACATCTCCCTTCGCCAGACCGCCTACCCCAAGCGCATCGTCAAGTTGGGCGGGCTCACCGGCTGCAACCCAGCCCACACTCCCATGGAGAAGAGGTTGAAGCTGAGCCACGACAGCATGGCGAAGGAGGTCAACGCCACGTGGTACCGGCGCATTGCGGGCAGCCTTCGCTACCTTGTCCACACGCGACCGCACCTGGCGTTCGCCGTTGGATACATCGGTCGGTTCATGCGACGACTGACGACGGAGCACGAGCAAGCCGTCAAGAGGATCCTCCGCTACGTTGCGGGCACCTCCGACTATGGCTTGCACTACCCGAGGTGTCCTGGTACGGAGCACTTCATTGGGTACAGCGACCTCGCCGGCGACATCGACACGAGCAAGAGCACCAGCGGGACGCTGTTCTTCCTTGGCAAGTGTCTGATCAGCTGGCAGTCGGTCAAAGAGCAAGTGGTGGCTTTGTCCAGTTGCGAGGCGGAGTACATCGCTGCCACTACCGCTTCGACTCAGGCTCTCTAGTTGGCTCGGCTGCTGGGCGATCTCCTGGGCAGAGACGCAGAAGCAGTGGAGCTCAAGGTGGACAGCAAGTCCGCCTTGGCCTTGTCGAAGAACCCCGTCTTCCATAAGCACAGCAAGCATATCCGTATCAAGTACCACTTCATCAAGAGCTACTTGGACGAGGGGAGCATCAAGGCCGGCTACATCAACACCGAGGACCAGCTCGCCGATCTTCTCACCAAGTCCCTTGGGCGGGTCAAGTTCCAGGAGCTTCGCGCCAGGATTGGGATGGCTCAAATTCCCCAGAAGGCGCCACACAAGACTTAAGGGGAGAATGAAAGCATAAGTCTTGTGCTTATCTACTTAGGATACTTATCTAGAGTAGTTGATGGCTGCTATGTCAGCACCTTATCTTTATCTTATCTTGCTTTAGCATCTCTAGAATATGCTGTAATCCTTTCTTAAGGACCAAGTATGCAGCCCTATATGTATCCCCAACCTGCCATGGTTTGTGGCAAGGCTAATGAAATCTGAATCTAGCCCCAAACCTATGATTTGTCTCCAACACATTTCACTCTTTTATATGTATTATTGAGTCTTTCATCTTTGTTATTTTCCTGTAGTGAGTAATTTTACAGCATAGTTGGTTTCAGGAGATGCCCTGAAGCCTGAACAGCATGGATCGGTCCAGGGTTGTGTCATCTGCTGATTTTTTTTCCCTGGATGGGCCGGACCTGGTTCTAATGATAAGCTAAACATACAATGCAGGACGATGCAGTCTGAGAACTCAAACCAAACAGCGACATAGGCTTGATTTCGGATTGGATGTTGTGGACCACACCATGGCACAAAACCAAATGTTTCCTTACCGAGCCAGTAGTTTTAATTTTGCACCAGATGTCAAACAACAACTTATGGCTACTTTCCTATGTCCGTAGGAAAAAGAACTATAATCATATGGGCTGTAATGTTGTGTCTATGGAACACAACAAGAAAATTGTTTTAAGCTTATATATTATGTAAATCTAGGCGATTGAAATCCAATTTATACCTTTGGATGAGAGTTGTGCCGAGATGTACCCATTGCTTCATCATTATTTTTCTCCATTCACAAAGGGAATAAGCAACCACAGGGTTCTCAAACTGTCAAGAAGCCATAGGATAAACAATGGTATCAGTGAACAAATTAAAAAGATAGAGTTAACTGAACTCCTTCAAGTTTTATTCAATGTTTATTGCCAGATAAAAGTTTTCCTCAAAAAAAAGTGTGAAAGGATTAATTTGCAAATAACTGTGCATAGTTAGAACATAGAAGTCAAGGGAGGATGCCAAGTAGGACCCATACCCATCTGAATCCATATGTGTAGAACTAATGTTCACCTCAATCAAACTTTCAAAAAAATCACCAAAATCCACCCAAAACATGTGGAATGAGGTGGATCTCCTCAAACACATTCCAAAAGTCCACTGAACTTTGCTCAAAATCAAATTTTCATGAAAGTGCGACTGATGCTAAAACTATCACGAAGTAATGCTCTTTTTAATAGATATATACTAAAATTTGTCTTCTGAAAACCATATCCTAGTACCCCACACGCAAATAAAATTTCTCTATCAATATTTCTTAAACCTTTTTTGGAGCACTCCAATTTCCTTGTCATGACTGAATAATTGGCGAGAAAAACAGTAGGGTGATTGATCCATTTTCCACGGGAAATCTTTCTGATTTCTAACAAAGCACACCCTCCAAGTTAATTGTTATTATTGGGCGAAGATTACTGGAGCACAGGACGAAAAACCCAAGGCGGAAGCTCTGTTACCGTGTTTCAAGAGAACCGTAAACAATCCTAAGCATGCGATTGTCCGACGAACTAACGAAATTGGGGACAAAGAACTAAAAAGGAAAAAAGAGGAAGAAGGAAGAACTCAAAGCTCGTGTCACTCCAAGCACACACCAACAGTATTTTTCAAAAAGAAACAAATAAAAAGAAGAAGCCCACCTCTGGAGAAAGGAAGAAGCTTGCAGATTCCTCGTTCGGTCCTCTTTTTCTCTGGATTTCAGAAAGGAAACAGCAAGATGGGAGGCGAGAGCAGCACGCATGGGGAAGTGCAAAGGTCACTAACGATGGCTGCTCCTGTAGTCCAGCTGCTGCACTGCGTAGACGAAAACTGGAAGCTTCTCTCTCTCACTCAGACGACAGACAGGGTCAGTGGGGTAATGGAATGGAGTGGAGTTAAAGCGCTGAGAAACAGAGAAAGGGAGTGGAAGCTGCAAACGCTCTCGGAACCCCGTTGGCTTCGCTGAACCCTGTTCGTTTCGTAAAAAAAAAATCGAACTATTGTTTCGGGGCTGATTTGTTGTTGAAAAAAACCACTATTTTGATTGAAAAATAAAGATTATAAGATAAACGAAAAGGGCAATATCAAGTGCGCAAGTGCAGATGCCGGGCCGCGCATGCTAATCTGCTCATTAATCATTCAGAAAAGTTCCCGTAGAAGTCGCTCTCTCGTCCCCCGCCACTTGAGAAAAGATGCCACCACCGCGCCGGCGCCT